TGAGTGTAGAGTTGAAATTGTGAGGTCTTTATCCTAAAGATTCAATGTAAAAAATACTTAAAACTCAAAGGGATTGAATTGAGTCATTATTAATGGAGTTATGACTTTTTTTAAATAATGATGTTTTGTAAAATAATACTCTACAAACAATTTTTTCACTCAAAAACTGAAGTAAGTGTAGAGTTAAAATTTTGAGGACTTTTTCCTAAAGATTCAATGTAAAAAATACTGAAAACTCAAAGGGATTGAATTGAGTTATTATTGATGGAGTTATGAATTTTCTAAAATAAGGATGTTTTGTAAAGTAATACTCTACAAACAATTTTTTCTCTCAAAAACTGAAGTGAGTGTAGAGTTGAAATTTTGAGGACTTTTTCCTAAAGATTCAATGTAAAAAATACTAAAAACTCAAAGGGATTGAATTGAGTTATTATTAATGGAGTTATGACTTTTTTTAAATAATGCTGTTTTGTAAAGTAATACTCTACCAACAATTTTTTCACTCAAAAACTGAAGTGAGAGTAGAGTTGAAATTTTGAGGACCTTTTCCTAAAGACTCAATGTAAAAAATACTAAAAACTCAAAGGAATTGAATTGAGTTATTATTATTGGAGTTATGACTTTTCTAAAATAATGATGTTTTGTGAAATAATACTCTACAAACAATTTTTTCACTCAAAAACTGAAGTAAGTGTAGAGTTGAAATTTTGGGGACTTTTTCCTAAAGATTCAATGTCAAAAATACTGAAAACTCAAAGGGATTGAATTGAGTTATTATTAATGGAGTTCTGACTTTTTTATATCAATGATGTTTTGTGAAGTAATACTCTACAAAATTTTTTTCACTCAAAAACTGAAGTGAGTGTAGAGTTGAAATTTTGAGGTCTTTTTCCTAAAGATTCAATGTAAAAAATACTAAAAACTCAAAGGGATTGAATTGAGTTATTATTGATGAAGTTATGAATTATCTAAAATAAGAATGTTTTGTAAAGTAATACTCTACAAACAATTTTTTCACTCAAAAACTGAAGTGAGTGTAGAGTTGAAATTTTGAGGACCTTTTCCTAAAGACTCAATGTAAAAAACACTAAAAACTCAAAGGGATTGAATTGAGTTATTATTAATGGAGTTATGACTTTTCTAAAATAATGATGTTTTGTAAAGTAATACTATACAAACAATTTTTTCACTCAAAAATTGAAGTGAGTGTAGAGTTGAAATTTTGAGGATTTTTTCCTAAAGATTCAATGTAAAAAATACTAAAAACTCAAAGGGATTGAATTGAGTTATTATTAATGGAGTTATGACTTTTTTTAAATAATGCTGTTTTGTAAAGTAATACTCTACCAACAATTTTTTCACTCAAAAACTGAAGTGAGAGTAGAGTTGAAATTTTGAGGACCTTTTCCTAAAGACTCAATGTAAAAAATACTAAAAACTCAAAGGGATTGAATTGAGTTATTATTAATGGAGTAATGACTTTTCTAAAATAATGATGTTTTGTAAAGTAATACTCTACCAACAATTTTTTCACTCAAAAACTGAAGTGAGTGTAGAGTTGAAATTTTGAGGACTTTTTCCTAAAGATTCATTGTAAAAAATACTAAAAACTCAAAGGGATTGAATTGAGTTATTATTAATGGAGTTATGACTTTTCTGAAATAATGATGTTTTATAAAGTAATACTCTTCAAACAATTTTTTCACTCAAAAACTGAAGTGGGTGTAGAGTTGAAATTTTTAGGACTTTTTCCTAAAGATTCAATGTAAAAAATACTAAAACTCAAAGGGATTGAATTGAGTTATTATTAATGGAGTTATGACTTTTTCAAAATAATGTTGTTTTGTGAAGTAACACTCTACAAACAATTTTTTCACTCAAAAACTGAAATGAGTGTAGAGTTGAAATTTTGAGGACTTTTTCCTCAAGATTCAATGTAAAAAATACTAAAAACTCAAAGGGATTGAATTGAGTTATTATCAATGGAGTTATGACTTTTTTTAAATAATGATGTTTTGTAAAGTAATACTCTACCAACAATTTTTGCACTCAAAAACTGAAGTGAGTGTAGAGTTGAAATTTTGAGGCCCTTTTCCTAAAGACTCATTGTAAAAAATACTAAAAAATCAAATGGGATTGAATTGCGTTATTATTAATGGAGTTATGACTTTTTTTAAATAATGATGTTTTGTAAAGTAATACTCTACCAACAATTTTTTCACTCAAAAACTGAAGTGAGTGTAGAGTTGAAATTTTGAGGACTTTTTCCTGAAGATTTATTGTAAAAAATACTAAAAACTCAAAGGGATTGAATTGAGTTATTATTAATGGAGTTATGAATTTTTGTTAAATAATGTTGATTTATAAAGTAACACTCTACCAACAATTTTTTCACTCAAAAACTGAAGTGAGTGTAGAGTTGAAATTTTGAGGCCCTTTTCCTAAAGACTCATTGTAAAAAAAACTAAAAACTCAAAGGGATTGAATTGCGTTATTATTAATAAAGTTATGACTTTTTTAAATAATGATGTTTTGTAAAGTAATACTCTACCAACAATTTTTTCACTCAAAAACTGAAGTGAGTGTAGAGTTGAAATTTTGAGGACTTTTTCCTGAAGATTTATTGTAAAAAATACTAAAAACTCAAAGGGATTGAATGGAGTTATTAACAATGGAGTTATGACGTTTTTTAAATAATGTTGTTTTGTAAAGTAACACTCTAAAAGCAATTTTTTCACTCAAAAACTGAAGTAAGTGTAGAGTTGAAATTTTGAGGACTTTTTCCTGAAGATTCATTGTTAAAAATACTAAAAACTCAAAGGGATTGAATTGAGTTATTATTAATGGAGTTAGGACTTTTTTTAAATAATGATATTTTGTAAAGTAATACTCTACAAACAATTTTTTCACTCAAAAACTGAAGTGAGTGTAGAGTTGAAATTTTGAGGACTTTTTCTTGCTTTGTGCAATAAATTTACCAGATTGCAGGTGGATTAATAGAGATGGTGTATGTAATCCACCTGCAATCCAATGCACGGGCTACGTTAAGTTATCACCCTGTATATACATGAACAATTTTTTCTGCCGCTGTGTTATTGTTTTCAGGTGAGCCCCCCTGTAAACAAACAGAATCCAGAAGTCGTCGGATGACTCTAAGAGTCTATAATAAGAATCTTCTTCTAGACGGATTTTTGACAAAGGTAAGTAGATATTCATCAATTTCCCATTTTAATATTTTTCACTAAAAAAGTTGGAAATTTTAGTCTGATCTCCTAACTTTCCTCTTTTTCTCCTGAAGATTTCACAATTTTCCCTCTAGTAGTTTTCCAGAAAAAATTAAATTGTATAAGAGTACATTTTCGTTTGATATCCATAAAAATGGTGTCACTTCTATTTCTTAGGTAAGCCGTTACCCAATAAAGTCCAGAATCATTCTGAGCCCAAGTAGAATATTAGGCTATTAATTATTTCTGGTAAAAATCCTAATTTTGGTTTGTAAGTGCAAGGTAATAGTACAATAGAACCTCGATTATCCGAGCTCTGGATTAATCGAGCCAGTCTAAAGACCCAAAAATCCGAGGTCCATACTCCGTATTAACCGAGTTTCTAGAATATACCATACATAGTATAAAAGTTCTGAGACCTATTTAGCCCTTAGACTGATACCCCAAAAAATAAATTCTGTTTATAACTGGCCAGTCACGAATATTTACCTACACATTTCATAGGTATACATATATGTACATTCGGATTATCCGAGTTTTCAGTTATCCGAGGTCCACGTTACTTTGGATAACCGGGGTTCTATTGTACCTACCTACATTAGTGCTTTAGTATTTTGGGTGTTGAATATTGGAAGCTGAATAAATAAGTAATTTTTAATATAAAACATTGAATTTTCACTAACATAAAGTTGTTTTTCCAGACATCCCTTTTCCAAATTTTGAACCATGAAGTGATGAGCTGGTTTTGGTCATGGATATGATACAAATGGATCAATAAAGGCTAAGTTTGGGTGGTTAATAATAATAATACATTTTTGTTTCTATCAGGCATAATCATAATATATTTATCTAACATTCCAGGTTTTTCATTTCTATGTCCATTTTGTCTTAACATCTTTTCCAGTTAGGTCATCATTACTTTGGACATTATACTGCCACTCTAGACATTGGACAAATAACTAGGATTTGTGGACATTGAAACAAATGACTGACAATGGTAGATGTAGCCACAACTGACTGGACAATGATGGAGATGACTGCATGGATCCAAAATTTTATCACTTTTCTCTTCCAGGTGAAATTACATATGTGTCAATTCCCGAAAAACAGTTCATGATTCGACTGAATCTTCAAAGCAGGGAAGCCCCGGGGGAGCCTAATGCCATAGTTGTTCTGGACCTCATTTGTTGCACTAAATATACACCGTAAGTATGGTAAGTGTTTGCAGTGGTGCCTTCCCAGCTGGCGAGTGAAGGTTGAATTAATGGATAGTTGACGGTTTTGGCTGTACAAGTGTAATTTCAAAGTGCATTAGGCCTAACGGGGAAAGCACTTGAAAAAAAAAACGCGCCGACAGCTCGTACCTCTAGGGTGGTGTGGAAATTGGGCTTCTACGTAATCGTATCGTTTTAGTAAGAACGTAGCTACCTTATGATTTAGATTTTGGAAAACTTTGGAAGGGCATAACTTTTTTTCTATTATAGATAGAAAGCTGAAATTTTCACTGAATCTTATCTCAATAAAGTGACTACAATCCCTGAAAATTTCAGCTCATTTACAATTATAGTTCCTGAGATAAAATCGTGTTAAAAATTTCATGTAAAACCCCAAAACTTTTGTATTTGATATCTCTTCACTTAACTTCTGTAGAAGGGGGGGGGGGGGGGGGGGGGAAATATGGTAAAACCAAAGTTTACGTAAAATACCCTGTACTAATACTACTAAAGGTATCTTTGAAAATAAATTTCTAAAAATACCAAGATTGCCAATACTTACATAAATTTTGTTTTTGTAATATCTTGTACGAATGTTGTGTAGCAAGGAACCTTCATTGAGAAACATCATTTCACCTGAAAGAGGAAATACGGGTATTATCTCATTATCTCACATACAAATGGCTTATTCAACAATTGTGTTGAATGAACTCACTAATAAGAAAAATAAGATCTTGACTTACAATTATCATCGTATTCCCTATCTCTCTCAACATTGGCCCTAAAAATATCGCTAAAGGACAAAACCCTTCTGGAATACTTGGGATCCACTGGAACGACTTCAGCTCCATCGTTGGTGATTTCCGTGATACGACCCAGGACAAATCCTTCTGTATGGTCACGAGCCCATACTTGTTCGTCCATGATTTAGTCTGAAACAATACAGTTCAATAAACTTTTTAAAAATAAAATCTGCCTAGAACAGGAACAATGGTAATAATGACATTGGTTACGGTATAATACAAAAAAACCGGTACAAACAAGGCTTGTTAGAAGTATACTGTTTTTAACACCTTTGTTGCGATTTTATAGTACATCCCAGAACTGAATCAATGGTAATGTAAAAACCTTAAGTAAAAATAATAAGCTCTTCCAATGATTGGTTGTCAATCACAAAGAAATGTAATTACACATTGCAAAATTTTAGATTTAATCTAAACTGTTCACATTACATTGGCCTTTTTAAAAGAAGAATCAACCACTGCTAGATTTGTTCCGGCATAAACCTAAATACTTTGAATACGTGGTTTTTAGGTTTATGATTCACAATTACCTACTTGAATTCTTATCTCAAGATTCACAGAGTGATGTCATATATACGGTATGCATCAAAATTTATTTGATTACTGGATGGTTAAAGGAGAAAAAAGTCAAACCTCGGCGAAACTGTGTACATTTTAAAAAAATACTCAAGTATTAAAATTGTCAAAAAAGTACAAAATTCTAGTAGACTTTGACCACTCTGTCTGTACTTATTCCATATAGATTAAACGCACAATAGCAGTTTGTTGGCTTAGGTTAATAACTTCTATTTTATAAAGGTTTCGAAAGAAAGATTATGGAAAACCTTAAAGTGCAACTAATTATGTCATATAGGCTATTTTTAGAATCTAGATAGCTAGACTATGATGTTTGTTACAATAAATGGGTAATCAAGACCTGGTTACGCAGGTTAATTATGTTATAATCTAAAGCACAAAAAAGTTCCCATAACCAGTGAAAAAAATACTTAAAGCTTTCCTGATATACATTAAATTGTTCAGGGTTTATCTCAAATCCTTATTTTTGATAGTCAATAACCGTAACACTTACAATACCTACGAAACAAAAACTTAATGTACAAATAAAACCCACACCCAGTAAGTGCATATTGTTAAAATCTCATTGTTGGAACTTTGTGTGTGAACTAAGCGTGTCTATTATCACTCGTAATGTGCAGTGGGGCTGTTGTTTTAATAGAGCCACGTTCTGCGGAATGAATTTTCAATTTTATTCGTTATGCATCCTGCTTATACCACACCATAAACTAGTAGGGTTTTGTCCTGATGAAAAACAGGTTTTGATTTAGTGGCTAGTTGGACATATAGAAATTTGTTGTTTCAAGCACTAGTGAAAACAAAAGTTGCGTTGGTTTATAATTTTATATCTGCTTTATTGCAAAATCAAATCTTGCATTCTATTTAACGTAATAATTCAAGCAAAAGACGGGGATAATTAAAGGTCTTTAGTTTAATACTGCAACTGCAAAGTTAATTAAACTTGCTGAGCATAAATTAAATATAAATATTAAGAAATGTCGAGCTTGTTGAATAACTACCTCAATAATCACTTGTACATTCCTGACAAGATTTACCAGTAATACAGTTTCACAGCAAATCAGGGATATTAATAAAAAAGTGACTTCATTCCAAACCCATTAATATTTTATATTTTCTGATATTATTTGGGTTTATTGAATTTTTATATTTTCGAAGCATGCAATTTTATTTGAATTACTTGACGATGTTTGTGTGATTCATTCAAATATGTACTTTGTCTACACCACTTTGTTTGTTGAGTAACAATCAGTATCAAACTGATTATAATATAGATGTTTGTTTTTGCCAATTCATAAGTTTAACGCCTCAATTTTGGGATTTAAAATGACAGGTCTGCAGCCTGGGTTGTAAATAAAACAACTCAACTCAGCAAAGTGCCATGAGAGAAATAATAGGTAAAAACACGATCTCTTTTGCACTTGGTCAAGGCAGACCAGAAATTTCTAGAGATACTAGAGTTCTATTCTTTAAACTACTCTACTAACACTGAATTAGACTCTCGAATTCCCAATTAAACCCCTTGACAATAATTATATCAAATTTCATCTCAACTGTCAGTTACAACATTACTTTTCCCATCTGGCCAACAATGGCACCCCAAACATATAAAACTACATAAATGAAATTATCTAATCAATGTTTAAAACAACTATTCACTTTCACAGTTCTAGCAAAACGCAACAACATAGACACAATACACACACACATTCCTCTCCTCCTGGATATTTTTTACGTAGCATACTCTTCTAGGTATTTTGGGGGCCGCCTGATCCTCATAGACGGTGGCGTATGAACAATTGGCACCTTCACATCAGAGATTTCTGGTTTCATCTGTGGTAAAGTCTGTGTAGTTAACTCTCCTGAGAACTCGCCATTACTAGGAAAGTCTGATTTCAACCTGTCCGAAACTCGGGAACGGATTTGGTCAGAATGTCTTCGCATGATCTTTCCTTCAGGTGTTTGGACCTTGTAGCTCAGCGGACCTGTAGTTTCGATAATCGTTAATGGCAACCATTTCTGACCCGCTGCAAATGATCTTACATAGACTGGATCATCATCATTGAAAAACCTGGTATTTTTCCCTTGTTCTGAACGTTGCTTGTCTTCTTGTTTAGTCATCATCTCCCTCCGAAAATCTGGTTGTAATTTATCAAGTAGAGTAGATAATCTACGGCCCATTAGCATTTCTGCTGGAGATCTACCTGTGAAACTATGCGGAGTTAAGTGTTGACTCAATAAATATCGGGATAGGGCCAGTTGTACCATCGTCACCAAAAGTAACTGGGACAGCATCACATTAGCTCTTGTCCTATTACATGAATTTTATTGTCAAATATATGTCAAACTGTGAATTGAATGCATTGAAATGAATGACAGTAGAATTAGTCCAGGAGATTATTATGCATTATTTGTGTCCCAGATACTTTTGGTGACGATGGTACATTGGTACCAGTCATTTTCTTAATTGCAGCGTGTCTCTTTTGTTTTTTTTTAGGGAATTCTTGAAATTCTACAGAAGTAAACGCTGTTCCATTATCCGAAACAACGACATCCGGTATGCCATGTGTGGCAAAACATTCCCGCAGCACTGTAATCGTCGATGCACTGGAGGTACTAGGTACTAGCCTTACTTCCAACTACTTTGAGAAGGCATCGATCATAATGGAGAAAATATTTCCGTTCATTGGGCCGGCAAAATCAAGATGTATTCGAGTCCACGAACCCCGTGCCCATTCCCAAGGGTGTACTGACGATTTTTTAGGCATGTTTCTTGACTCCTGACACTTAGCACCCCTATTCACTAAATCCTCAATTTGCTTGTCCATGCCAGGACACCAGACGTATGACCGTGCTAGTGCCTTCATTTTCACTATGAAGTGTGTGTGCGTATTTTGAGCACTCTCTCCCTTCCCCCTGGTGGAATGATAACTCTAGTGTCCCACAATAAGCAATCCTGATAGCAGGTTATTTCATTTTTTCGTTGCCAAAAAGATGTATCCTCTGTCGTAAATCCATTCTGGTTTTCTGGCCAACCTTTTCATGCCCACTGTAAATTCCTTGATAAGACTGGATCTTTCCTAGTTTCTAGGGCAATGTCTAGTGCAGAAAAAAATTTCTGGGATGTTTTCTAGCATCAGGACCTCATCTGCCGCTGGGGCGTTTGCAGTATTAATATTTAAAGGTAGTCTGCTCAGAGCATCTGCATTTTGAATCTTGGAACCTGGCACATAAACCAAACCATAGTTATATGCGGCTAACATTAGAGTCCATCTCAGCATTCTGGGTGAAAGTATTTCTGGAACACTTTTCTTTGGATTGAAAATACCTAGTAATGGCTTATGGTCTGTCCTGATAGGTACTTTGCGGCCAAAAATATAATCATGGAATTTCTTAATTTCTGTAATAATGGAGAGAGCTTCCTTATCAATTTGGGCAAAATTCTTCTCGCTGTGCGACAGTGTACGGCTGTGATATGCCACTGGAACTTCTCTCCCATCATCATTTGGCTGACTCAACACACAGCTCACACCATAGGGACTGGCGTCACATGTTAAAATGAGGTCTTTTTTATCTGTATAATGTGCTAAAACTGGCTCTTTACTTGAATTGTCCTTTAATGCATCAAACGCTGCTTGTTCTCCGGTATGACACTGCCATTGCGATTCTTTCCTCAGAAGGCAATGCAACGGGTTTGCTATAGTTGATTTGTCTTTAAGGAAAACATGATAAAAATTCAAAAGTCCAAGGAAAGCCTGTAGCTCAGTCTTATTCTTAGGCGCCGGGGCATTAGCTATCGCTTGAATTTTCTCTTTAGTGAACCGAATACCATCTTCACTTATTCGATATCCTAGAAAATCTATTGACTTGGTATTAAAAACACATTTATCTTTGCGTAAATTAAGTTCATCTTCCCTAAAACGTGAAAGCACTGCGCGCACTTTACTGTCTAAATCAGCTTCTGATTGTCCGACAACTAGTATATCGTCATAATATGGCAGCACACCTGAAATTCCTGCTAGTCGCATGACTAGCAGGAATTTCAGGAACGTTGGAAAATTTGTGGGGCTACTGAGATACCAAACTGTAAACGACTACATTTAAATGCACCTTTGTGGGTAATTATCGTTTGTGCTTCGGCAGCTTCACGATCGACGGTTAACTGTAAATAGACCTGTGCCATGTCCAATTTAGAAAATATTTTACCTCCTGCTAGCACTGATAATATACTTTGAATAGAGGGCACTGTATAAGGCTCTGCCTACAGGGCACGATTCAATGTACTACGATAGTCCTCACAAATTCGAACTTCTCCGTTATCTTTGCAAACTACTACAATAATTAGAGTACACCATTTAGCATGAGTAGTTGGCTCCAGAACACCTTGCCTTATAAATTTATCTAGTTCCATATCAATTTTTTCCTTTAATGCAAATGGCACTTTCCGAGCTTTTAAAATGATCGGCTTGAAATTTGGATCCAGGAAAAAACTAACTGGAGGTCCCCTGTAGGATCCTAACTTTTCAGCGACTTACCCCTATGATGGAT